TGCTCCTCCATGATGTCACAGACACTACCAGTGGACAGGATGGGCGGGGCTCAGTCTATTCATCTTATTCTAGTCTATGGACACTGCTGACAGGTTTTTTAATTTTCTTATGACCCAAAAGGGGACACAGAAGAAAAAGCTAGGGAACTACACTCTTGAGACAACGAAATCAGCTGTAAAAGCTGGTCAGATCGGACCGCAGCAACAACCTAATAATGGTTTAAAGCAAATAGTTTTTATAGATCTTTACATAGCGTTCAGCTTCACATTATAGAAAGATTTTGACCACAGTTGGTAGCTGGAACACAGTCGGACCAACAAACCTAAAGTTTTGCCTCTCGGCTCTGCTTCTTCACTACATCAAACCGGAGCAACACCTTCAGCCAGGCATGGACCGTGATCTGGATACAAGAAGTCCAGGGTGCCTGAAAAGCACTGCAGCTAAACCAGGTGTGGACTGTGTCCACATGCTGCTGTGTTTAACCACAGCTGGTGGAACTGGTGCTCTTCATCTAGACTGAGGTTCAGATCACATCCAGGTGTGGATTTCTTTACCCCACACAAAGCATGATGAAATAGTTTGACATCTTTAAATATTAAGCCAGAAATAAACATTTACACAAGGTCAMTGAAGAGCTTTGAGCATCAGGTTAGGATGACTCCTTCTGAATTTAGACTATCAGCAGCAACATTTTCAAACTTATTTTAGAGCAGTTTTTTCTTTTTTACTCGTAAGGCTCTACTGATTCCAAAACTGATTAGTTTTTTTTTTTTTAAATCGGACCACCCATTTAGAATTTAGAGGTCATTAAAGGTTGAAAATTAGGAAGCAAGTGCAGCATTAAAAACCATCAGAGCCCCATAGAGCAGAGGTTCTTAACTGTTGGGCCGTGAGTGCCACCTTGAGGGCCTCAAAAGAACAACAGTTTTAAATTTTGGGCCGCAGAGGGCCGTGGGACGCATTGATTTTGAATAAGGTGCAATACACTTTCTCACCACTAGTAGCAGTAGTGCACCACTCAGATGTTTAACAACTTTTTTTAATACGTAGAAGAAGAACCTTAGAAACCGGCCGAGAATGGAAACCAATTTTAAATGAAAGGTAGAAGCAAAAACAAAGGTAACCTGTCAAAAAAGGCCAAAGTTTGTCGCTAATATGAAGAGCAGCTTCTGGTTTTACCATGCTTTTAAAATATTGATTTTAAAAGTTCAAAACATTATCAAACACAGTTGCAGATACAGCTATATTTTAATTTGCACTTCACAAATAAATTTTTGCAGTTTATTTTTTTAAACATTTTGAATGTGTTTTAAAGAAACTTTAAACTTGTCAAAAAGCTGTTGTTACTGTTATTGTTTGTCACTAATATGAAGAGCAGCTTCTGGTTGTAAAAGTTAAAAAAGGCTTTATTTTCATTTGTACGTTATCAAAAAAAATTTACAGTTTTTTTGTGTTTGAAATATTTTAACATTTTTAATTTATTTATCTTATGC